CAAGAGATTACCCATTTTTCTTGAGAAACAGCTGGTGTATTTGAACTGTGTGTCTTTGGGTTGGCAGTGCAACTCCTTACCATTAAGCAGGCAGCAGAAGCCAGTGATTGTCAAAGAACCATGTCCTGACCACCAGCAGCAACAGCATTACCTGGAAATCTTTCAGAAATGCAAATTACCTATTGGCCTTATATCCTTTCCCTAGTGAAAGAAATCTTGGAGGTGGATGAGGTGTGGCTCAGTAATCCTTCCAGGTGATTCTGATGGACAAGCAAAGCAACAGAGCTGTAGCCTTGAGATCCTTAATTAGCAAGTTAACTCAGGTTTAAAGACACAAAGGCGTTTCTTATGAGCACCTTCTCTTTTCACTTATTTCAAAGGAGTGACCTTACCACTCTAATACATCAGAGAATGCTAATTAAAAAGCAAAACATTGAGTAATTTTAAAACTTTGCATTCCCAAGTTAGTCTTCTTTTGTGTCAGTCCTTGAATATCTAGGGTAATAGGTCTGCTGAAAGCATTTTTTTAACATTATTAGAATGTTTCAGTTCTGAAATTAGGCCGCCCTGCCTCTTTTCCACCTGAGTCATACAGAGTATGTCTATACACTTTCATTACAATCATTATTATTACATAAGATTTCCACATGTTGGTTCACATATAGAATAATATTCTCTACTTCTAATAATATTTAAAGATCTAGTGTTTCTAGTTCCTAGAGGAACCTACTCTAACAAATAAATGGCAGGGACATAAAAATCAAGGCTCTACCTTCTGGAGCAAGATACTCTTTACATGTGGAAACAGTTGTGCCGTTTTCAGTTGTGAAGACAAAAGTCTAATTTGAAAAAGGTTTTCTAACATTGTCTCATTTGTTTTTCTAGTTCCATCCAAAGTGAAGTGCTCGCAATCATGTAAGAATAGGTGTCAGAAATCTTTCCTGCAAAGTTCTGGAAGAGCTTAATGTTTTTTTTAAAAAGAGAACCAACCAACCTTGCCTTGTTCAAAGCCCCGTATTACTGAACTCAGATGTGAAAAGTAGAGCCTAAAAGATAAGGTGGGATTTTTACCATAAATGCCCACCTCTGTATTATACACACGGAGCGCTGGTGACCTACTGGTTAAGCAGCTGTGCTGCAATCCCAAAGTCATGCGACTAGAATCTACCAGCTGCTCTCCGGGAGGATGGGCAATCTCCTCCTACATGTGATTTACTGGCCCTGAGAACCCACTCTGATGGCACACAAAAAACATTTGTGTATCCAAGTACACACTAAACACAGGAGTAAAACCCTCAGCTCTATGAAGTGTATTCTAGCTCAAAGTGTTTTAGTCTAAAATAGAAAACTCCATTATCACACTTTTTACTGTTTCAAACCCACCTGTTAATTTGTATTCTGTGGAATACTTAAATCTCTTTACTGGCTGTATAAATTTTAACTATTGACTTCCTGTCAGTGAGAGGCAAGACCCTCAACAAGACGGACTGACAGTGGATGGCTACAGTAATGGCCTCAAACAGAAATGACTTAAGATGACATTGGGTAGGAAAGCATTTTGTTCTGTTGTAGATGGGAATTATGTATCAGAACTGGTAACAAAGACAAGTCAAAGTCCGTATGAATTGTTGCGTGAAATACCAATGTGTTTGGTAAAAGTTCATTTAAATCACAATAGCCTTAAAGAAAAATCCCCCAAAAGGCCAAGAACAGTTGTCTTAGGTTAAGGGTGTGAAGTATTGCAGATACATTGTTTGAGGACAAATAACGGAATTTTTCATAATCCTTTGTGCAATATATCATTAAAACTTAAGTTTTAATAAAAGCATCTCCATTTTTTAAAAGGGCATTAATGGAAACCCAGTGCTTACACATTCTAGTGTTCTTAATCACTATTTTAAATTTTATTTTTATTATTTTTTTGTATGGTATCTGACTGGTACAGGAGACTGCCCCTCCTTCTTCAGCAGAGCATCTGGTGGATTCGAAGGTTACCTCTGGGATTGCAGTGCAGCTTCTTGCCACTAGAACTCCCTTGTTTTTATCACTATTACAATGATGCGCTAAAAACGTCTATAATTATTCACAGTAGTAAAGTCAGTATCAATTCTTTTGTACCAAGTGCTACAATACACATTACAAAGAAACTTTCAAGACTATCTAATAAAAATGGCTTTCAAACTAATTTAGTCCGAGAAATCAATTCTGCATCAAAACCCACTGTTCATAGACTTTGTACAAACTAGCTTTATGGAACACTACCCTTTAAATTTGCTATGTAGACTTTAAGCTTCCACTACTGTTTAATTACAGAGTCCTGTGGTCGGTAGGGAGTTGCACTAATCCAAAGAGGCTCTCTGGCAGTTTCAATCCACCAATGACAGTTCTGGGGGCAAAAGATGGGTAATCTCCTCCCATGTGATTTATAAGCCTTAGGAACTTGGTTCTGACTTGATGGCAAAGAGTCTTTAGTTATAGTCATGACCAAAGTTTAAAAAAAAACACTAGGGAATCTGGTAGTCCAATAGTTAAGATGGTATGTTGCAATACAAAAGGCTCATGGTTCGAATCCACCAGATGCTCTGTGGGAGGATGGGTAACCTCCGCCTGTGGGATTTACTGGAAGGTTAGTCTTGACTCAGTGGTCTAATAGTCTGTAGCAAGTTGTACTGCTAACCAAAAATCCCCGTTTCTGGTGGTGTGAATCCATAGAGTTCCCAAAGAGAAAGATGGTACAATTTACCATCTCAAAAAAACCTGATGGTTAAAAAACAAAACAAAACAAAACAAACAAACAAAAAAACCCCCGATGGTTGTTAAGAGTCAGGATTGAGTTGGTGGTAGTGAGATTTTTTTTTTTTTAGGACTAAAACTGCTGAGGTTCCAATCTAATCTTAACATTTGTACCTCAATTTCTCTATCCATAAAGCAGGGAAAACCTACATCAAAAGCTTTTTTATAAAACTGAGTTATATTTGTGAAGACTTAAAAAACCATCATCTGTTGAGGATCTGTTGAAAACAGTGAAGTCAGACACAAGAGCAAGCACAGTTAAGTCAGCTTCTTAAAGCACAGTTCTGGCTGATCGCCTTTACACTGAATATAAAAGCCAGTGATTACACACGGGTCTCAATATAAAGCAAACATTTTAGGAGTTAAAGGTGGCTTATCCTTTAACTTGAAATTATGTTCTCAGGCTGGTAGTTAAGACTGTTTTGTATAGTTAGCTTTGTGTTATAAAACAGGATGGTTTGGAACTCAGTGCAAGTCTAAGTTTACAAAGAGAATTGTGTGTGAAAATGGTACAAGCACGGTCCTCGAGCCCTTTTTTCTGTGTGAATAAATGGTGAAAAGGAAGTCTAGCATCATTTAAGGCGCTGACAATCACATAATTAGCTTTTGTAGTTTTAAAAGGTCCACTTTATTCCATGTAACACTTAGGCATTATTTACATCTGAGAAAGAGATGGCCCATGAGATTGATCTATTGAGAAAACACAGTATGTCTGAATTTTATACATTTCTGGGTATCCCTAGACAAGTGTTATCGCTATTACATTATAGACTATAAAAGGGGACTATCAATGAACTTTAAAAAGTAGTAAATTCACTTGTCCCTTAAAATAAGGGTATACAACTGTTACATCATCATCATCATAAGTTGTTTATAAAATGTAATTTTATTCTATGTTATTCTTCCCTTACATAGGGTATAATATTTTCACAAGGCTTTCTTGGGACTACAGTCAATGATTAGCAACACACAATCGTGGTTCAGCTCTCTAAATAACAATCACTAGACAAACTGGACACCCTCTCACTTGTGCACAAATCTGCATGGAAAAGTACTAAAGTTTTGGACTTGTATACTTTGTTTCCGCTTTCTAGTGTATTAAGAAATGACATGCATTTTAATTGCCAAAAGCAATGCTTGTATTCTGGCAGCAACATGCTACTTCTATTACATAGTAAAGTGAATACCAGAACTACAAAGGCAGGAGTGTAAGTGAATTTTTATTGGGAAGGGAAGTTGTCAACTTAAACAGCAGCAAATGAAGAGTGAATAGGAAACTCCCTTTTATCACAAATATACATGACCTCCATAATATATTATCTAGGAGGCACTTCAATGTGTGACCCCAATGACCCCCAAGCCAGAAATGTTGAATGTCTTTCCATTCAATCTAATACTTCTGGATTCCCACTAAAAAGGAATACATCAAGAGCATGAAAAATTGCTTACTGAAAGGAAGCCCCAAACAAGAGTAAGGGAAGGAATGTAGAAATTAAGAAGTTATGCAGAACACTCTTTTAATTGTAATTAACTACAATGTCATATCTTCACAGTAATACAAAACACAGTCACTTGTAGAACTGGTTCAGATTACTTAAATACCAGATACATTTTAGTCTTCTACATAAGTGTTTGGAAGTTACTTATGTTTATATGAAATGAAGCTATTAATACTTTTCTACAGCAGTAACTGCACACCAGGAAGGCCAAGACAAACACAAATCAAGGAATGGAGTTTTCCCAAAGCTGCAGTATGAAAAGACTATAAACAGTTGATTCCATACACATGAATGGGTTTCTTTGCTATAGGAAATCCAAGTGGAATAAGGAATGGAGATGTGTAAAAAGGTTTCTTGAGGGGGAGAAGGATGACACCCTGTGAGCATTTAGTTTTCTGCCCCTTCTGCTGCATCACATTCTTCTCCTGCACTGTCTGATGTCCATAACTAGGGGAGAAAAAAAATATTAAAGATTACTTCTAAATTGAACAAGAATACCAAATTCTATCATTGTATCAAAGTGTAATTCTGAAATCAGTAAATTATTAAAACATACAGATTATGGCTAAGAGTTCTCTCTCAAGACACCAAATACGATGACCTCCCTCAAAGTACTCAAGTGCTTTTACACAAGCTTATTCCTATGTAAAAAGTGCTGGAATTTCACAATCAGGTGACATTTTTAGAATGGTGTCTCCCTTGATAGTAGCGTGATGGTCAGTCAGTCGCCATAAAGCACACATATTGAACAGACTCTGGAATTTAGGTAAAAGTTAAGATAAAGAAAACTAAGAAAGGGACACCCAAACAAAACCCTCATTGCTGCTGAGTCAGTTCCAACTCATGATGAACCTCCACCCCGCTTCTGAGGTTATAAACTTTTTTTTTCAAAAGGTTATAAACTTTTATGGCAAGAGACTGTCCATGGTTCTCTTTTGAAGTAGCTGGTGGATCTGAACTGCTAACCTTTCAGTTATCAGTTGAATAAGTAACATATTAAACTACCAGGTAGAGACACAACACAGTTGATAGTTACTGAATAAAGTTCACAAAATACATTTTTATTAGAACACTAATATACCACTGATAATTTTAGAAACCTAAAATCCTACACAATTTTTACTATAATTGCTAATACACTTTAAAAAAAGTAAAACTTGGGAAGAAATGATTCTCTTAGAAGACAAACAAGAGAAGTTAAAATTCCTTCAATTATGAAAGGCAGTTCCCAAGGTGTATCTGGGAAGAGGTGCAATTGTTGTTTGAATTTCTTTTAACAAAATTTGTTTATCCTTATAGGAGGTATTAGCAAAGGCTAGGAATGCACGCTGTAGATAGTATTTGCAAATTTTAACAGATGTTAAAATGGTGGTGTGGGGCAGGAGAAATAACCCCATAAAACAAAATATCTCAAACTAACAAAATACTTAACTTTCAAATAATGTCACCATCCCCTGCCCTGTTTATTTGAATAATACCAAAGTGGAGGCCAGTAGAACTCTATTTGTATTTAAAATATTAATTTAATATTCTCCTTTCACCTTTTGTTAAATATCAAATTTATCTCCACTCAAAAAAGAAAACTATATAAAGCTCAAGGTATATATTATGCTTCAACTTGAAACCCTGCCTACAAAAGATGACTACAGAAAGTTCTAGCAGTGTGAAATGTCTGATTTAGATAGCTATATAATCCTTTTTCAAAGAGGAAGTATACCTAAATAATATGTAACTACACCAAAAGATTAGGGCAATTAAATATTTCATACCTAAAGGAGAAATAAATGAAAAGAATTAACAACTCACTGTTAAGTTGTCCCTAAGCAACTGCATGATAAGGGTGCTGTCTTTGTATGAATCTTCATTCAGTGTATCAAGTTCTGCAATGGCCTCATCAAAAGCCTGATGAATATGAACAGCCATGGTGGAAAAAGGAAATGGTTAGAACACCAACATTACATCCATTTTTATAAAGCAGGCACAACAATCCTTCTAGAATCAACTATTAAGACTGGAAAAAAAACCCCACAAAATTCCATCATAACCCCACTCAGTTTAAGAATTGAGGAGTATAAAATAAACAGAGAAGCTCTGCATTAAACAGTACCCAATACATTTGGTTCTTTTACAGGCCATAGCACAAGTCAACTGCAACCTGGAGGGAATTCCTCAGAACAGACAGAGCTTCCTTATCACCAAGGGTCTTCTTCCTCTGACCTTATTTTTCCAAGGAATAGCACCTTCTGGGCAACAAGTCCAAAGTATGTGAGACACAAAGTCTGACCATCTTTGTCCCTAAGGAACATCCTGGTTGGACTGTCTAGGACGGATTGGTTTGTTCTTTTGGCAGCTCATGGTATGATTATTAATATTCTTCATTCACGCAATTCAAAGGCATCAATTCTTCAGTTTTATTTATTGTGTAGATAAATGATCACATCCAAGTCTGCATTTGTTTGCTCGAAGATCTCAATTGGTATTCTATCAATTCGTAGAACTCCGCTCTCCCCTCCTACTTTGACTTCTTCCCTGGGTATCACTGGCTCTTGATCATGTGCTGCTTTCTGAAAGGGTTCAGGATTCACCAACTGTTTCTGCTACAATGACCCTTTACCTGTACTTTTCAATGTTTCCTTGACCATTCATTACTATGCCTATAGAATCCCTCAATATTACAACTCCAAGTTCTGATTTGTTCTTCAGTACATTCAGCTTAGGAAATGCTGAATATGCTCTTCCCTTTTGGCTTTCTAACTTTAGCTCTTTGAACATGACAATGCTTTGCTTTGAGTCTCTGTGAGCTGTCTTTTCAAATTTTCTGTTCAGTTCCTTCAATTTCTGCCTTTTCCTTTAGTTTCTCTGCATTGAAAAACAAGTTTGAGTTTCTTCTGACATTTCACTGTTTTCTTTCATTCCTGTCTTGATAACCTTTTCACTCTTCATGGATTAAATCCTTGATGTCATGCCACACAGCTCATCTGACATTCAGTCACTGTGTTCAACACATCTCATCTATTCCTGAAATGGTTTTTAAGTTGGCATAGCCTCAGCTTATATTTCGGTTCCTATGGACTTGTTTTTATTTTCTTCAGCTTCATTTTAAGGTTGCATATGAATAACTGAGATCCACCAGGCGAGCTCTAGTGGCCTAATAGTGGTAAGAAGTTGTGCTGCAATTCAAAGGCATCCAGTTCAAACCCATTAGCCACTTCACGGAAGGATGGGTAATCTCCTCCCTTGCTATTTACAGCCTCTGAAAACCAGCTGAAGGGTTAGGTGTGGGTGGGTGCTGACACACTACAACATGGTCTGCTCCACACTTGGGTCCTGGTCTAGCTTCTCCACCACCTTCCCACAGATGCACCTAGCTCGACTTGTACAGTTGCCATTTATGTATTTTAAAAAATGCATTTGCAATGAGTAAATCACTGATAGTACAAAATTCTCTCGTGATCTCTGGCCTCATTTACAACTATCAATCTTTGTTTCTAGCTTCTGCATTCCAGTCACCAATTATTATTAATGTGTCCTGATTATATGTTCAATCAATTTCAGACTGCTGCATCTTGGGCTTTAACGGCTGGTGTATCTATTTGGAAAAAAGTTGTAATCACAGGTGTTCTTTGTATGTGCATGGACATTATTTTATCCCTAACAGCATTCTACTTCAGAATGAACCTTGTTCTTTTTGATGATGAATGTGACATCATACCTCTTCAGTTTTTCATTCTCAGCACAAACTCACTAAAAATGGGTGCCAATATCAGTTCACCTGCCTAGAAAATTGATCTTTATCCACTCGGTTTCATTTTTTATGTCTCCAAGATAATTTTCTAAGATTCAGATGAGAAACTGTGGGGGTCAGCTACTCACTCAATGGCAATGAGTTCTGAGTTATTTGGTTCCCTCTCCCCCTCTTCCCAACTGCAATCTGGGAAGTGCCTTCCAACCTGGGGGCTCATCTTCTAGCACTGTATCAATTTATGTTCTGTTGTTATTCACAGGGTTTGCTGGAGTCTGTTGTTTCAGAGTTATGCTTAGCATGCTTATTATCATCATCTACAAAGACTACTATTTAGTTACAAAAGAAGTTTTTACTTTATTGACATGCTTTAAAGGTTCATCACAGTGATCAAACACGACAAGAATAATTTTCTATCTCCCCCTATCTGATTTTTCACCTCCATCTTTTTTGTTGGGATGACATTCTGAAGTGCAATCAGAAGGTTTACAAACCAAGTTAGTTTTTTATTCATCCATTTATACGATTTTTTTAATACCATTAATTTCAACACCCACCATGTAAGTCTATTTCTCCCTGTAATTCCAATTCCCATTAATCCTGCTATACTTCTATCTTCTCTTCCCTTTCTTTAATGATAGAAATCATCCCTTTACTGAAGGTAGCCATTCTGGTCACAATTTCCAATTCTTTTATCTATCGTCTTAAGAGTTATTCATATTTCTCTGACCAGTTTATGGGTTTTTTTTTTAATTACTTAAAGAAGTGCTATTCCTTATTTAGCTTTCTGACTTTGTGCTTGTGCCTTCAACACTCTCACAACCATTTTCTGCTCCTCAGTAAGGAAAGCACGCTCGATCCTGTCACGACACACTTTTAGCACATGTGGAGCTACCATAAGCTCTGCTGACATGGTTTTGGTTTTGACAAACTCATGAGAACTAGGGGTCTCATGGCACGCATCCCTTAGTCAGCCTGGAGACACACCACATGCAGATTTTGGGGCTTTCCCATTCTATTACCAGGGGTTTGGAACAGCCCAATTTTGTTAGAGGCCATGTTGTAGGACAGCCTGTGACAGTAGGTCAAACGCTGGACCATTCTGAATTTCTCTACACAGCATCTTTGCAAGAGTAGCTTATGCTTTAGACTATTACTGCTTTTAATCAGAGTGGGGGATATTAAGAGTTTGAAAGAAGAATCAGGTCACTATGATGGAAAAAAGAGACTGCTACGTAACTACAGTAAAGAAAAAAAAATCAACCTATGGTATCCAATTAGAAAATATCAATATATTTGCAATCTCAAATACCATTAGCTATAGAGTGCACCTCTTGAGTACACAGCTTACTTACCGTTTTAGCCAGTGTACAGGCAAGCTCTGGATTATTAAGGATCTCATAGTAAAATACAGAGAAGTTGAGAGCCAGGCCCAGGCGGATAGGATGTGTGGGTTGCATCTCCTTTTTGCTTATATCAAACGCCTCTTGGTAAGCTCCTTGGGAATTATCTATCGTTTCTGTGGGGGGAAGAAGAAAAGCATGACACTGTAGATACCTATCTAGTATCAAGCATATATGTTAACATCTTTAATATATGCTGGGAAGAACCAGATTTTTTTCTGTAACCCTTTTTGTTTAGTTTACAAATAGAAGTTTTATTGTTTGTAACTCTCTTAAAACCATTGTTAGCAAATAGAAAATATTATCTTATACTCTTATTTAAAAACCAGTTCATAATTCTATTTGCTTGTATTCAGTTTAATAAAAACATGGGATATTATTTGTATCTCTGAGACTAAGCCAATTTTCTCTTTTTCCAAAATAATGGAGAGAAACACGTTTACAAAAATCATTACCACCAAAATGACTTATCTGAAAAACAGTATTGGCTCGTTACGAAGTAAGCTGTATTACACAAAAAACAAGAGAACAATGTGAATTAACATGGTCAATGGAACAGAATTAAGGTCCCATCCTACTGCCCCACCACCGCCAAATAAGGTTTTATCTTACATAACAGAGGCTGCAGAAATAGAGGTGTTATTTTCCTGCTTCCAAATCTAGAGTAAATTAAATTCCAAGATCATTTAGAATGTTTCTTCTCACAGACCATGATAATCCTTTGGAAAAGACTGAAACTTTTTTTTGGAAAAGTCAGAGATGATGAGACTGGTACAGGACAGGGTTCAGATCTGTTGTCACAGGATTACTATGAGTCATACTCAAATCAACGGCACATAATAGTTAAAAATGCAAAGGGAGCTAGGACTGCATAGTCTGAAGGGAACTGTAAGGCTAAACCAAATGTGGTCAATCTGTCCAATCTGTCTGTCGAATCCACCAATGAGTCTGCGAAAGAAAGACAGCAATTTTCTCCCTTGTGATTTACAGGCCCCGAAAACAGACTGGAGGAGAGTGTGATTCTGAGCCTAAATAAAAAAAATAAAAAAGTTTTTAAAAAAATAAATCACTTAACTACAAACGCAATCCTCATCCATCAATATACTGTCTGGTGGTGGTCTGTATGCCACTGTGCTGCTCCAAGCTATGCTGTTTTATTTCTACTACTGCAGTATCACTGACAGTTAACAAGTTTCAGCAGAGCTTCAGACCAAGACTAGGAAGAAGGACTTGGCCATTTACTTCTCAGAAAACTGGTGTGCGAAAACTTAGGAATAGTGGTAGAATCCAGTTTGTGCTACAAGAAAAGCCTTTGGGTTGGAAGGTAGTCAAAGTGTGGCTGTGGAAAAACTATCCCCACAAAGGAAAGTGGATCTTAATGTGTATAGAGTAAAGCTTTCTAGATCGTCATGTATTGATGCGGTACAACTCAAAGTGCTAAGTTTTAAAACAAGAAACAATGTTCAACAATTATTATCTTAGGCACTTGAGATCCAAAATAGGTTGATACTGGCCGTTTTGACAATCATAGGGTTTACTATGTCAGGCGTTATCTGGTTGTCTTACTGCGGAGGCTTGTGTGTTTTGACATTGGAAGCTATGCCACCTATATCACAAATATCAACAGGACCAAATTATGACCTTTAGTAGATCTCAACGGAATTTAAAAACCTCTTTACGAACAGATTTGATGCAGTGAATACTATGACTGAAGACCAAATGATTTCTAGAGTAACATGAAGGACATCATCAAGACAGCAAAAAAGCATTAATTATGAAGACAGAAAAGAAAGAAAAGATCAAAATGGACATCAGGCAAGACAATGAAACGTGCACAGGAACATAAGGAAGTCAAAACAAAGAAAAGGAATACTGAGGTAGGAGAGTTGAGTAAATTATTTCAAAGGGCAACTCGGGAAAATAAGTCTTAAAACGCAATGTGCAAGGAGCTAGAGTTAGAAAACCAAAAGGGGAGAACACTCTCAGCATCTCTCAAGCTGAAAGACTAAAGAACAAATTTAAGCCTTGAATTGCAGTACTAAAGGATTATATGGGCAAAATCTTGAACGATGTAGGAAGAAGATGAGAGGAATAAAAAAAAGATGGAAAGAAAATAGTCACTGTGCCAAAAACAATCAGTCAATACAGAAGACTATCAGGAAGGGTGATATGATCAGGAACAAAAAGTACTGAACAAGCAGTCCAAGCTACACTGAAGACACTAGGGGAAAAAAAAGAACTGATGGAATACCAATTGAAATATTTCAAATGAGAGATGCAAGCCTGGACATGCTCATCAGTCTCTGGAAACAAAATACAGAAGACAGTTATGTGACCAACTGACTGGAAGAGATCTGTTATTTGTTCTCCTTCCCAAAGGTGATCTAACAGGCTGTGGAAATTACTGAACATTATCATTACTCTTATCTGCAAGTAAAATCTTGCTGAAGATTATTTAAAAATGGCTAACACATTACATCAAGAGGAGGTTTCAGTTTAAAAACTGAAGTGCACCTGATGTGAGCATTGTCTTGTCAGTTGCTTGCGATGCCTTTGCAAGTTGGATAATGACTAAGGATGACAGTAGTAGTGATCCCTACGTTGTGGTGCAGTATTAGAGTACTCAGAGTACTCAATATTCTATGGATGACCAAAAGGAAAAAAATGTCTTGGAAAAAGCACAACTAGGATGCTCCTTAAAGGCAAACATGGTAAAACTTTGCCTCACATACTTAGAGCATGTTGTCAGAAGGTCAGATTAAGAGATAAACACCCTCAACAAGATTAAATGACACAGTGACTGTAACAACAGGTTCAAGTATCTCAGAGATGATGAAGCACAGGATAGAGTAGCACTCAGATCCACTGGTTCACAGGACCCCTATGTCTTGTAGTTGGTCTTTGGAATTACTTGCTCTGTGTAAGAGATCTGGACAATAACTAAGGATGACAGAAGAATTTATGCTTTCGAGTTATGGTACTGGAGAAGTCTGGAACATACCATGGGCTGCCAAGAAAACAAATAGGTCTGTCTTGAAGAGGGTAAAACAAGTTTCTCCTTGGAGAATAGGATTTTGAAGCTCCATCTCACATACTTTGGGCACATGGCCAGGAGGACCAATCTTTGGAGAAGGGTATCATACTTGGAAGGGTGGAGGGATAGTGCAGGAGAAAACGACCCTGGGATGAGATGGATTGATATAGTACCTGGGGAAATGGGGGCAGGTGTGTCGGGAGTTAGTGAGACTAGATCAGGGCAGGGTTTGGAGCTGTTGCACACAGGGTCGCTATGAGTCACAGGTGACTTAACAGCACATAACAACAACAGCAGCAATAGTATTGTATGCATTGAAAACACAGAAAGTTATCAATAGAGGATAAAAGGAATATACTGCCACTGTACCAACAGAACTGATACATGTTCCACCTATCAGGAGGTAGCATATATAACCAGCAACTGATACAGGTAATACTTAAGATTGCATGGAAGAGACAGGTGAAAAATAAAGCTCCAGAAACTGACCGAATACCGACTGAGTTGTTTCAACAAATAACGCTGCTGCCAGAGGCACTCACCCTTGCCTATGTCAAGAAATTTGGAAAATATCCAAATTTGTATACAATCCAAAGAAAGCTGATCTAACAGATACAAATATCAAAGCCATGTAAATTTTTCTGAAGATCATACAAAAATCGTTTCAGCAGCAAATCAACATAAATTCAAGCTGGCTACAGAAGAGGTATGTCTTTACTTTGAGTATGCAAAGGTATTTGACTGTGTGGATCATAAGAAAGTATCCATAACACTAAAAATAAAGAAGAGGTGTACTTATAGTTCTTTCACCATACTTACTCAACCTCTGTGCTGAGCAAATAATCTGTAAAAGGTGAACTGCATGAAGAAGAATGTAGCATCAAGATTGGAGGGAGACTCATCAAAAACCTTCAATATGTTAATACTACTCATGTGGATTTTAAGTGAAGAGGTCCTCAAATATTTACTGAAGATCAAAGACTACTGCTTCCAGTATGGGTTAGTGAAACATTACTTCAACATTAAAATAAACATAGAAACAAAAACACTCTATAAAAATAAACAACCCTCACAATCAGACCAGTAAGCAACATCATGATAAATGAGTAAAGATTGGGGTTGTCAATCATTTCACTTAGATCCATGATCAACACCCGTGGAAGCAGCAGTCAAGAAATAGAATGATACATTGCAATGGTTAAATAAGCTGCTAAAAACATCTATAAAATGTTAAGCAGCATGGATGTCACTGTGACATCCTCTCATGCATATGAAAGCAAAGACAATGAATGAGAAAGACTCACTCCTTTGAAACATGGTATTAGATCAAGGATGTGTTGTTGATTGCCACCGAGTCGAGTACAACTCTTAGGGACCCTATGAACAAAAGTCCTGAAGCCTTTCTGTACTATCTTCATTTATCAAAGTTCATAGAGGTTCCAGAGGCATGTAGCTTAGGAAATGGATGCCATTCTGGCTTCCAAAACCCATTAGCACAGGATACGGAATGTGTTATGGACTGCCAAAAAAGAATAAACAAACCTCTTCTGGAGGAAGTGCAGCCAGAATGCTCTTAAGTGAGGATGATGAGACTGTCTCACATATTTTGAGCATATTATCAGGAGGGGAGAGACCCCAAATAAAGACATCAAGCTTGGTAAACATTACAGCAAAAAAGAGTATTACCAAGTGGTTTCAACAATAGGCTCAAAGACAGAAATGACTGTGAAGATGGCACAGGAGTGGGTTTATTTCATTCTTTTATACAATGGGATGCTATGAGTTAGAATTGGCTAATGGCACCTAGAAACCACCATTATATAAAAAACAATCAGAAAATGTAATTAACATTATAATGATCATTTTTACATTTTGGAAAGGCTGGTACTCTGAATGAGGCCGTTGGTCTATTGCAGTTTAAAGACAACAAGCCTAACAGAAATTTTGTTGTTAGGTGCCATCAAATCAACAAGGTCTCATAGGCACCCACCCTACGAACAACCTATCTGAACTTTACGGCATTTTCTCTATCTTTAGTATACTTAAACCCACTGATTCAGCCACTTGTGCCAATTTATCTTGTTAGGGTCCTCCTCTGTTTTCCCCAGCAGGATGCCTTTTTGGTCTGTGCATATTTTCTTGTCTGAAGTAGCACAAACATGGATAGCATAATTTTCAAGTATTAAAGAGCTCTTGTTGCCTGGCACATAAAGAAATGTGAGCAGCTGTAAAGTGTGTGATTCTTTAGGTGATAATACAATATCCCAGGCTATCAGAATATTCTAGGTCAATCAACTGGAAAGAATCAGATTAATGTCACAGCTGACTCACTTTCCCAAAAGCACCTGTTTGACATGAAGTTAATTTTTTTTTTTTAAATTTTATTATTTTGTGTGTGTACCATCAAATTGGATCTGACTGGTACAGGAGGAGATGGCTCCTCCTTCTCCAGCAGAGCATCTGGTAGATTCAAACCGCGTATCTCTGGGATTGCAGTGCAGCTTCTTGCCACTAGGCCACCAGAGCTCCCAAAATTTTTAGTTATGTGCAAATACATGTCATCTTTATCTTTACAACAATAAAAATGATAATTCAGCAACAAAGTTTCGTACATAGGCTTTTTAGAGCAAAATACATCATTTCTGTGCCCCTCAACAAACGAATGGATAGAGAAGCTCTGGTATATTCATACAATAGAATATTACTCAGAATTGAAAAACAAGGAACTCATTGAAATAGTATGCAAAACGGATGATCCTGGAGGACATTATGCTGAGTGAAATATCTCAGTCACAAAAGGACAAATATTACATAGGGCCACTGTTGTAAAACGGGACTGACATTGGGGTTGAGGCGACAGAGAAGGAGGAATGACGTATACTGCATTGAAACAGATGAGGGAGAGAACTGTTTAAAAGGGATATATGACTGGGTATGATTTTCATGACAGGAGTCCAGAATGAAGGCTGCACAGTAGATTGGACTTGGGGGGAGGGATTGCATAACAAAGAAAGAGTTTTACTTTTCAAGGAGAAGAGTGAATTGGGGGAAAGGGGGTAGGCAGGGAGAAAAGTTCAACGATGAATGATTGGAAATCCTAAAAACAAAAATAAAACCCCCTAAAACCCAGCATTTTTCTCAAGCTTCAATACTCGGGATGGTACAACTGTCTCAGTTAGTTACTACACATAGTGTAGACATTATGTATGTGAGTACCCCCATACCCTTTTTGAATGGGGGTACCACCAGGGGCTTACTTGATACATTTGGTAGCAGGCACATATACAAAATTTAGTAAGATCTGTAATATACTCAACAACTAACTTGGAATTTAATGCTAGTAAATGTACTTCCATTTTCTGTACTAAGGAGTTCCGGTGGTAACGAGCTGCACTGCCAAAACAAAGGCAGGAGGTCTTAATTCACTTGCTGCTCAGGGACAAAGACAGGTAATCGCCTCCCAAATGATTTACAGCTTCTGAAAACCAGTTGGAGGGCCAGCTATGAGTTGTTCAGACACAAACAGTAACAAGAAGTACTTAATTAATACTCTGTTAATTTACTCTATCAATGAAAACTTTTTTTCAATGAAAACTTCTTAAAAAGCAAAGTTTGTTTTTTTTTTTAAAAAGTGAAGTAAGGCCTTAAGACTGTCATTAAAACTTACAGGAATAAACTGTACACTGGCTAACAACGAACCCATTTTGCTTCTCCTCAGAAGCTTGGTTACATGTAATTAAATGTCAAATGAATTAACAAAACAGTAAAAAACTCCAATACTCTAGGGGTTACAAAAATATTCTGTGAAGGAGGGCTGGGTAGGGAGAAAAGTGCAACAATGAATGAATGAATGGAAATGTATATACAAATATATATATTATAAAATGTAAAGAACTTGTTCTAAAATTATGGTCAAAATTCTAAAGGTAAGATTAAAGCTTGAATTTAATTTTTAAAAAGTAGAGAATGTAAATTCATGACTATTTTTCATTTATGAAAACATAAAAAAAAATACTAATTTTCTTTGTATTTAGATTCTGGATTTTTCAAAGTTACAAAGAACCTAAAGATTGATTTCCAGATTATGGTCATAATGTCTCACTGACCTCAACTTTTGCTTTTCCCACATAACTCCAATTATAAACCAAATATACTTACGTTTTCGATCATCACCACATGCTACTTCAGCAAGGTACCGGAAATAATCTCCCTTCATTTTCAGATAGAATACCTTACTCTCTGGATTAGTTGCATTGGCTATTAAATACTTATCCAATAATTCCTGAAAGAAAATAGGATAAAACAATTAAGACATTAATAAAACTTATTTTACATTATTGTAAAATGATATATTTTTGCCACAACACTGTTTGAATCATTAACACAGTAACAGGATCAAGTTGCTTGTCAATTGTTGCCTGGCAGGTTTTGTGTGATTTGGCCCATTAGCTAGCAGAGTCGTCGTGTCCCCCCTCCCCCCCCATTTTTGGGCAAGTAATAGTTTCAATGGTAAAGCTAGATTACAATAACACTGTAACTAGAAAAAGCCTGCCTGTTCATGCATTCTTTCATTCAATAAACATCATTGATACCTATTAGATGTCAAGTACTGTATTTGGTTCAGGAGATACTTAGTCTCTGCTTGCAAAGAGTTCACAGTCTAAAAAAGACACAAGCACTACTAAGAACTTAAAAGAACACAGGAATAAAATATTATGGAAGCACCCAGAGGGAACAGTCAGCTCTACTTAAGATAGTGAATGGCTAGATAGGCTTTGTGGGGGAATGGGCCCTCATTTTGTCAAGAAAAAACACCCAGAATGTACTGTGCAGAACATAAGGTAGAGTCATTTTAAGAAGTGGAAACATAATAAAGAATTAACAATAAGGGAGAATAGGATAATCTCAAAAACACTACTACTCTGTACCCTCTGTGGTCCACTGCCAGTCCAAATATTAAGAACAAAAACGGAGTGAAGTATATTACAAACTTTTTTCATTTGAATTTAATAAAAAAACAAGGCTTGTTATTATGTATGTTTTATTATTTTAAACAGGGCACAAAGAGTGCTTCTAAAATAGAAATAACTGTTACTTCTGGAGGGTGTATAAGGTGTGCCCTGGTGAACAGTCACAAAAGACAGATATGGTAGATGGCTTCTTAAGTGAATAATTTAACCTGATCCTGTAAGTAAGTAAACAACAAAATACGGAGAACAAGGAAATTCTCAGAAAAAAAATTTATAATTTTAGGATTATAATAAAAAACATTACTGATAGAATTGTATGTGACATATGTACTCAATGAATGTTAGCTCACCTCTCTACCTAGATGCAAAGTCTGAGAAGCAGTGTTTTAGGCAAGGAACAAATATCTTCATCTGAGGGAAAAAACTCCAGATATAAAATCAATAAACTCAGTAAACAACATACAAACATACCAACTTTGACACAAAATGGAGATGTGTGGAAAATCTATCGAGACTATTTAGAACTCATTACTTAAAAAACAAAAAAAATTCTTTTTTTGTATCTAAAGAAAAAGGTTTGAAATTTTTATCATTTATTTTATTTCATGCACATACATTGTGTTTTATTATTTTACAAAAAGTTTTAAAAATGTAGTTACAACTCAAGGACATTTTCTTTTTCACCTGACTGAACTGGTCTTAAAAAATTCCACTATTAATTCACAATTATTTTAAAGGAAATAGTATGTATTTTTTTAAATGCTGTAACTTTTACATTTTAGACATGTAAAGATTTAGATTTTGGAAAACCAGAAACATTCCAAACCAGGGAAAGTAAAAACAAATTTCAGAATTAATTTATATAATGAAGTCCTCAAAGTTCACACATTAGAAAAGTGTTTTGTATCAAAATAGTAGGCTTAAATGAGAAAAGGGCTAAGGGAGTGGTAATAGAGGTTATTATTAAGGCTCATTCTCAAATTTTATGGGCAACTATAAAAGTGCAACTTTTTAAAATCACCGTATTATTGAATGGGAAAAGAAATGAAATATGAGGCCATAAGATACTATGCATTATCACCTATACTGACTTTCAATTTTAAAAATGTATTTGAATTTGAGTGATTCTGTAGTTATTTCTAAATTTACATATTAAAACCAAAATCAAACCAACACTAAATAAATAAAAAAAAAAAAATACAGTACACCGTATGTTGAGTGACTTAAGCCAGGCTCATAAGGACAAATACTACACAAGACCATTATTGTAAAAACAGAAAGATAAAGAGTAAGATGCAAATATTATGTAAAACAAAACACCCTCCACTTTTTCGATTTTGGTAAGTTAGTTAAAGTGAAATTCTTTGGGATCAGGATCTAGTTACAATATTAGTTTACAGTATCTCCCAAAAGTTATTCAATATACTTTTTAAAAGTGCATTCTTATTTTTGTGTGTGGGAGGGAGGTTTGGTGACCCCTAAAGCCTTCATACCTGCCAAGATGCAAAGACTCTGGAGGCTTTCTGAGCATCACCTTGACACCAGAGTGCTGTGTGCATGTTTTGTCTCAACTCAGCAGAGGCTAGCACTGTGTACAGAGGTTCTGAACGCAGCAGCAGGACCTGAGCTCACAGTGGCCAGCATGGTCCAGCCATTGGTGAAAGTGGAACAACATACCACGGCACATCGTCTTGCCTTCCCCATAGTGGGGCCTCACAGATCTCAGTTTTGGGCACAATGCAGGTGGGCTGGGGAAACTGGGACTAAGACATGCTACCAAGTGGAGCTGGGGGCTCAGGGATGTCTTACCCTGCAGTAACCTCTCCTTCACAGGATATGGGCGCAGGTGGTACAGTATGGCTCCCACATATGCCTGGGCTTGCTTTCACTTTGCTGGCTAAAGTGCCAGTCTTTTATGAAATGTGATAGGAGATAAGAAATGTTCGAATAGAGTGAGAACTCAGACTAAAGAGAAGAAGAGAAATGTAGAATTCAGCACTAGTCCTTTTTAGGTCACTCCTGTCAGATGTGTGAGCTGTTCACCCACCTTTATCACAGGCCCCTTGCCTTCCACAGACTCAAATATGCTAAATAGCATTAGTAACTATAGTACCTCTAAGTCAGATTTTCTTTTCCAAAATGATTACTTTGATTACTAGTTCACATATAGTCATTATATATGACATTGTTGTTGTTTGTTATGTGCCATCGAGTCACTTGCAACTCATAGCGACCCTATGTACAACAGCCCTAAACTCCTCTCTGTCCTGTGCCAATCGCACTGTCTGACACTCCCAATTATCCCAGTCACTGAATCAATCCACCTCATAGAGGGCCTTCCTCTCCTGCGCTGTCCCTCCACCCTCCCAAGCATGATGTCCTTCTCCAAGGACCTGTCTCTCCTCACAACATGTCCAATATGTTAGATGGAGCCTCAGATTCCTTGCCTCCAAGGAGCCACCCGGTTTAACCCTTTCCAGGACAAATCTGTTTGTTTTCCTAGCAGTCCATGGTATTCTCAATACTCTTCTCCAGCACCACAGCTCAAAGGCATCAATTCTCCTTCTATCCTCCTTGGTCACTGTCCAACTCTCTGATGCATAACAAGTGATTGCGAAGACCATGGCCTGTATCAGATGCACCTTAGTCTCCAGAGAGACACCACTGCTCTTCAGTACTTTGGAGAGGTCCCTAACAGCAGACTTTCCCATGGCAATGCGCCTTTTAATTTCCTGGCTGCTGGTTCCAAGACTGTTGACTGTGGAGACAAGCAAGCTAAAGCTGTGTACAATCTCAATCTCTTCACCATACATCCTGATGTATATATGACATTAGGTTTTTAAAATAAAGTATTTTATGCTTTACTTCTGTTCTGGAGTTTCAGTCAGGTATTATGGTTCTCTGTCAGATCCCACAGTATCTCTATTAAGGAAATAACAAATACAGTAAAATTCTGTCTTTCCATATGCTACTAGGAGCAGGTATTTCTATTTTAGTCCAATTTAAAACACAATGGGATCTGTTCCATGAATCAAAATGATCAAGGCTCTATTTGGTATTGTTGTTGTTGACTGTCTTGAGTTGAGCATGACTCATAGTGACCCTATGAACAAAAGGCCTGAAGCTCCTCTATAACTATCAACATTTATCAAAGTTCATAGAGTTTCTGGAGGCGTGTTGTTTAGGAGTGGATGCCAATCCTGCTTCTAATTATATTTGGTATTATTAACTTAATAATTAGTGACTAAGGATGATAGAAGAATCAGCAATGCTTTTGCATTGTGGTGCTGATTATGTCTTGAACATACCATGGACATTCAAGAAAACAAACAGGTCTGTCATGGAGAGCATGAAACTAAGTCTCTCCTTGGAGGCAAGTCCCACATACTTAGGGCATGTGGCCAGGAAGGACTTGTTCTTGGAGAAGGACATCATGCTTGGAAAAGTGGAGGTACAGTGCAGAAGAGGAAGATCCTGGATGAGATGGATTGACACAGTAACTGGAGTAATGGGAGTAAGGTGTGTTGGTCGGAGTCAGTGAGACTGGCTCAGAATAGGGCAGAGTTCAGAGCTGTTGTACATAGTGTCGCCATAACACTTTTAAAAAGGATGAATAATAAGACTTACAAGGAAGGATGGAAATTGGTTAACATTTATACAGTTAACTGAATAGCCTACTATTCCCCCATTAACTTCTATACATTATTTGTGTTAATTAAGTAGTAGCTTATCATGGTAAATTTTTCAGCCAGCAAATTTTACATTCTTGGATAGTTTGGAGAATTAGATTCTTTTTTTGGGGGTGGTGGTTGGTTTTTTATGGAGGACTAGATTGGGATTCTCTCCAAAGCTGGCAGCAGAAGGGTGAAATGTAAGTAGTGCATTTCTTTCTGCAAACTTGAGAAAATTAAAAGGTCAGTCAAAATGACAAGATTGAATAGTAACTGAGGACAAGCTAAACCAAAGAAATAAGAGCAAAGTTAAAGATTATGCCATTACAGTTGGTTTTAGAATTACTACTAGAGGCAGCTTCATCTTAGAAAAGAAATAATAGAGATACCAAAAAAGGCTGCAGAGAACCATGTAAGAAATACTGAAGTAAATGTCATCTAGCAACTATTACCTTTACCATTATGTGTTAGTGAAAGCTCTGGTGGTTTAATGGTAAGGAATTGTGTTGCCTATCCAAAGATTGTTGTGGGGTGCCATCGAGTTGAGTAAACTCACAGCAACCCTGTGAATAAAAAGATCTGAACCCTGTTCTATCCTGTGCCATTCTCACATTTCCTGACACACAAGAGCCTACTGTAGC